CAATCAGTGCTTCCACCTCTCACAGATCCAGGCCCTCAGCTGCGGCAGAAGTTGCAGGGAGTCAAAGGCCTGTCAAACCTAGAAAAGACTGTTTTAGGTCAAATGTTATTATTCAAGTGCTCTTTTTTTTTAGATTTTATAGACATTATGTGGGACCTGACCATGTAATTTTCTGAATTTAGGTCTGCTTTAGAGGTATAGTTATTGTTTAGAGGTATGGTTATTGTTTAAATAAACACTTTTTGAATTGAAACAAAACTACACACAATGAGGGGAATTAATAAAAACTGGAGCAGACAAAATCTAGGGCAGCTAGCTGTGCATGGCAACCATAGGCTTCTCTCGTCAGTTTATTCAGTTAAGATTTGAAAATGAAAGAGAAAAACTGATTGGTTGCCCTGCACAGCTGCTCTAAATTTTGTTGGCTCCAGTTTTGATAAATTCCCCTCATTGTATTTGCTAAAAAGAAGGAAGGAAGTTTCTACTTCTATGAATTTGGAAGTGGCTTTCCAAGAAGGCATCTCAGTGCTGCCTCCACTAGTTTATTCCAACATGCAAGTAATTTAATAATCAGTGGTCTTGCTTATTGCCTGTGGACCAACCATAAAATGTTTATTCCTGATGCGTTTGCTGCAAACAGTTGGTCATTATTTTAAGCTGCCTTGACTCCTTGTATTTTAACCATTCTATCATTCCGCTTGATCATCCTTTGTTTGTCCCTAAATCAGTGATGTTAAACCTAGCAAATCAAAGCTTGTCTCCAGCCACATATTAGAGTTTACATTTTTGCATAAACAAGTATACAGAAATGTACAGATCTGAAGACTTTGACAGCAGTGATGCTGATCTTTGGGCTCAGTAGTATTCCTAATGCTTATTAATAAGCCATCAGCAGCCTTGATGCCTCAAAGAGAGTGTTTGCATTAGATAGAAGAAAATCTAATGCTCAGCATTCATTTCACTTAAAGGAGAACTATGAGGTTAAGGCTTTTCCCCATAGCTCTCCTTAGGGTTGTAGCTCGCGGTATACTGAGACGCCGCAGTATACCGCCAGCTGTAGCTCGCGGTATACTGAGACGCCGCAGTATACCGCCAGCTGCTGCTCGCGGTATACTGAGACACCGCAGCTGAAGCGGATCCCGACAATTGTGCCGGGATCTGCCAAGCTGCGTGATTGACAGCTGGCTCTGCCTATCTAGAGGCAGAGCCAGCTGTACCCGCCCCCTCCCCCGTCCGATCCGCCAGTCAGCGGATGAGGATGAGTGAAAAGCACTCACCTCATAGTTCTCCTTTTAATTCTCTTTCCTTACTACATGCCTGTAAAAACTAGTGGGTGAATAAAGAAAAGAACATTGCTACTGAGAAATCTGTTTTACCTAGCAGTGAATGGACAGAAGCCACAGCTAGAGGCCTGCAATTTTCCAGTTGGACAACACTGCTCAGATTGTATTTTCTCACAAGCAGGTCCATATTGATATTTAGTAATTATATATTTCAGGATGCCATGTTAGTATAGCTCTTAGAAAATGTGCACAGCTATTACCATAAAAGAGAGAACCAATCATTACTTACCCCAAACATTTTTTAATGGTCACATGTAATTTTCTTCTTTTAGAATATAGATATGGATAAGGAACATAGATATCTGTTGCTTCATGGCTCCACTGAGCTGGTCTTTGACATGCTGGATGTATAAATCCTGCTAAAGTGGTAATTCAACCAATATTTATATGTTCGCACTCAAGTGGAGACTGGTAACTGGTTCGCAAGAAACAAAAATTAGCTATGCTCTGAGTTGTTGATGATTTCCAAAGAAAGTCCATTGTCATCATTTTTAGAACCCGCCAGTGCAATTATCAAAAATTTAAGCTGCGCCTTGGTGAAATTAGCTTGTCTATGTAGACTTTTAGTAATAGCTAATGGGTTTTTTTGAAATCATACATCATGGATAATATAATTTGGAAAATGTTTTAGCTGTTTGGCTTTCTAATTGAACATTGGTACCCACAGTACCTAAACTGATTGGTACATTGCTGATGAAATGTAGTTTAGTAGTGTGAAAAAAGCAAGTCTACCTTTTTATCTGTACTTTTGTGTTACTTTCCTTTCCAGGATATCACATATTGCTGTATTAACACATATCAAAGAGAGTGTTTGCATTAGATAGAAGAAAATCTAATGCTCAGCATTCATTTCACTTAAAGGAGAACTATGAGGTTAAGGCTTTTCCCCATAGCTCTCCTTAGGGTTGTAGCTCGCGGTATACTGAGACGCCGCAGTATACCGCCAGCTGTAGCTCGCGGTATACTGAGACGCCGCAGTATACCGCCAGCTGCTGCTCGCGGTATACTGAGACACCGCAGCTGAAGCGGATCCCGACAATTGTGCCGGGATCTGCCAAGCTGCGTGATTGACAGCTGGCTCTGCCTATCTAGAGGCAGAGCCAGCTGTACCCGCCCCCTCCCCCGTCCGATCCGCCAGTCAGCGGATGAGGATGAGTGAAAAGCACTCACCTCATAGTTCTCCTTTTAATTCTCTTTCCTTACTACATGCCTGTAAAAACTAGTGGGTGAATAAAGAAAAGAACATTGCTACTGAGAAATCTGTTTTACCTAGCAGTGAATGGACAGAAGCCACAGCTAGAGGCCTGCAATTTTCCAGTTGGACAACACTGCTCAGATTGTATTTTCTCACAAGCAGGTCCATATTGATATTTAGTAATTATATATTTCAGGATGCCATGTTAGTATAGCTCTTAGAAAATGTGCACAGCTATTACCATAAAAGAGAGAACCAATCATTACTTACCCCAAACATTTTTTAATGGTCACATGTAATTTTCTTCTTTTAGAATATAGATATGGATAAGGAACATAGATATCTGTTGCTTCATGGCTCCACTGAGCTGGTCTTTGACATGCTGGATGTATAAATCCTGCTAAAGTGGTAATTCAACCAATATTTATATGTTCGCACTCAAGTGGAGACTGGTAACTGGTTCGCAAGAAACAAAAATTAGCTATGCTCTGAGTTGTTGATGATTTCCAAAGAAAGTCCATTGTCATCATTTTTAGAACCCGCCAGTGCAATTATCAAAAATTTAAGCTGCGCCTTGGTGAAATTAGCTTGTCTATGTAGACTTTTAGTAATAGCTAATGGGTTTTTTTGAAATCATACATCATGGATAATATAATTTGGAAAATGTTTTAGCTGTTTGGCTTTCTAATTGAACATTGGTACCCACAGTACCTAAACTGATTGGTACATTGCTGATGAAATGTAGTTTAGTAGTGTGAAAAAAGCAAGTCTACCTTTTTATCTGTACTTTTGTGTTACTTTCCTTTCCAGGATATCACATATTGCTGTATTAACACATATATGGGCTTTATGTATAAATGTTTTCACCCAAGATTCATGCAGAGTTTTTACTCGGATTCATTTGAAAAATGTGTGAATCCTGGGTGACAGTTGTGTGAATCTTGTGTGAAAACGTTAATAAATAGACCCCCATAGTTTCTCATGTACAACAGGAAAATAGTATAGTGGTCATTCTAGCCATTTGGCAGTGCTGGGATTTGTCAAAACACCCAGTGTGTCTGCATGTAGATTTGTGTGAGCTTCTGTAAGCTGCCAAACTTGTCAGCCCTGCGTTAATAGAACAGCCAAGTTAGTAGTAGCCTACACATTCTACCACTGAGCTAGGAGTGGCGTAATCAAGTAAACATGTTTGCTCCTATTCTTTAATTGCCTCTGTGAAAAAAAAACCTTTTCCAGAATTGGTGAGTTCTGACATTTCTGGAATTAGGCAGAATGTGAGCGACGTAAGAGTGGAGGTACAGCTCTAAGATCTGCCAGATATTGGGCATCATGTGGCTGCAATGAGGATAACTCATGAACAGTGCCAGGCACATTCAACTAGGTAAAGGTTTGAGTGGGTTAAGTTAATTTCGGGACAATGTTTATGACTGTCAAAAGCACCATGTGCTGTAAAATATGTATTTTTTTTGTTTGTTTAGTGAAGGGGACAGCTGCTTTTAGAAAGAAAGAGTCCCACACACATTGCTCTCTAGATTACAAAAAATTTTGGCCAGGTCAATTTTTCTCTAATATAAATATGTCTATTGATTTTAGCCTTTTTTTCTTGAAAAGCAACAGTCTTATTATTTCTTAAGTCCAGTGCCACCAGGCAATATGTAGTTTCAACTACAAGGAATGTCAAAGCTGAACAGTAAGGCATTTTGCTGGTTACTTGTGCTTTTGATTTGATTTAACAAAATTTTTTTAGACATTTTCTAGCTTGTGACACACAGTAATTGTAGTACACTTTTCTTGTCCTGCCACATAAGTTGTGTGGATATGTAAAAAAGGCTATCTACCTTTTGTCCGCTAATTCTGACATGGTCAGAAATGTAGAATATTCTTTTAAGCTAGCAAGATTTTTTCTCTCTAATTCATATTTCTACTGCCCTGCTCTAGTTGTTGATAGGTGGCATCACTCTCCCTCTCTTTGGTGCTCCCTAATGTAAAATATGTGAACAGGTTAAATCTCTAGCCAAAACTTTTGACGATTCCCCTCACATCATTGTCACTGGGCCCCAGATGTCAGGGAATACATATTATGACAAACAAAAAAAATCTTAAGACCAAAATCAAATCTGACAGGGCTTTTAACTGTTCCATACTCTGCCCAAAACTTTAAAAAAAACCTGTGTTTACTAAGATGCACTGTTTGAAATAGTGTGCAGGAGGGCCAACTTTGGAGCTACAGTATAATGGGGGAAATTTTGCAGCTACATTTCCCGTAAGATTGATTTAATTGTACCCAATCAAAACTAAAGAGTCAGTATTAAGTGGATTCTGCTTTTAATGCATCACTCTTAATTCCCTTCATTTGTAAATGCTGCAATCTCACATCCTCTCATGTACAAAACAATCAATGCATACACGTATTCCCGTCTAAAACAACGAATCATTTGTTTATGTATCTTCTTATTTTGCAGATGAAAGACTTTAATGTGGAAAACTTGAGCAAGCCAGAACTTCGTTTTCTTTTAAGTATATTAGAAGGAGAGCTGGAAGCAAGGGATCTTGTGATAGAAGCCTTGAGGGTAAGTTTCACTACCTATCTTTATAATCGGTTTTAATAATGCCACTTCTTTTAATTGAGCCTAATGAGTGCATTTTGGAAACTAGCACTTTTTGTGTTTGCTGTAGGGTGGTACAAAGTTCTGCACATTTTTGTGTTGAAAAATGCTGTAGACATGTTTTAGCTCTTTAATAGCCTGTTGGATATTTTGTTTGAACTGCATTAACTTCCTTAGATGATGACCAGGATTCCAACAGTCTTCTTCTATTATTAGGGGATCTCTGTCTCATTACCAGGTCTATATTTTTCATTATAGTGAATGTAGTTGAGATGGCCTCCATCTCTTAGCTTCATAATAGCTACAGTGGAAGGAAGAGCTGGGATTTCCAACATTGATACAATGCTGTTCGAGCACCTCAGAGATCTTGGAAACCGGTCTTCAGCCTATTTATCCAAAGCTGAAATATCACTTTCCTTAGGGCTTAAGTCTATCTCTGTAATAAGAATGCCAACTGGCAGACACTTCAGAGAACAGAAAAAAATGCACTGCAGTTTTTATTAAAGTAAACTTCTTACAAAGCTAGACTATTCATACTGAGCATGCAATACAAATTGCACAAGCAGAGAACTTACCTTCTGTGAAAACCACATGCTAAAATGAGCAGTATATCCAGAGATATAGGTACCTGAAATTATAGGCAAATCTCAAATGACACCACCACCTCCTGAGCTTTCTTATTGGTCATTAAAACCACCTGTCTCTATAAAAGACTACTTAGGAGGCAGAACTGGTGCAGCAGAGTTTAGGAAAATTTGAGATATGAATAAAGTTTAGCAGTCAAAGTGCCTTGATCTGCAGATGATTTTGACATAGAGTTTTCACAGAAGGAAACCTCCAATTATGCAATTTTCATCATATGCACAGTTGGCGTTGTTATGGTATGTGACCGTTTTACCTCCTAACTCTTATGTACCACACAGTAAAATGATTTCATTTTACCACCAATAGTAAGGGTTTAAAAAGACTGTACATAAGCTTTTGTCAGCACATAGTCTAACGTTCTTCCTTACATGCGGTATCCTCTAGTCTATGGCCAGTACTTTGTGCTAGGCAGTTATGAACACCCAATATAATTAGAAGATTTTTGCTATGTTAGATTTGTGCCCAGCAAGTAATAGGTACTATGTATCATTAGGACTATCTTCAGAGGCAGCTACATCGGGCTCCTCGGGGTTTAGTAGTGTGGCAGTTAGTTGTTATTCGATCCCTTACAAGTTTGTCCTTGAACAGGGAATGGTGTTCTTCTTATTGCCTTCACTAATACACAGCTGTGAATAAATCTGAGATTTTTAATCTTGTATTGGAAACCGTATCATCTTTGCCATCTGAACCATTTCAATCACGTCTGAAGAAGTTAAGACACTCTTCCTGATGAGAACAGCCTCCAGAGAACAGAAGGATTGCATGCTGTGCCTACTGAAGCATCATTTCTAGCTTCACAACTTTGTTGTCACTATTTTGGGCTCATCTAAAGCCACAGACATGTTCTAAAGGATGATGACAAGATCAAGCAGGCGATTTCAAAGCTTAACACATGAAAATGCCCCTTATGTAGACTGGAGCCAATGCATGTCATGCAAGGCAGAGAAAAGAGGAACTGTCTGTCTGACAGTATTATGACTTATTTAGCAACCATTTCATCAGCAGTTTGTGGTGTACTTGTTTTATAAAAGTCTTGGATTGAAATCGCTCCATTTACAAATAGTATATTTTGCTGCACTCTTTCGCATCTTGGGCAAAATAAACAAATAAACAGAGACTTGGGGGAGAATAAATTGCTGTGGATTTAATCAGTGGTGGACATTCTGGGGGGAGGGAAACATTTAATGCATATATTGAAAAATGTATATAAAATATCAATTACTTGACAAGACTAATACTGACAGTTTACATTTTTTCTGATATATATGTCCAGCATGGTGCAATCTACTACCTGACTTCTTCAGCCACATGAGTCCATTACAGTGCAGACAGAAGCTGACTAAAAGTGACATTAAACCCTCAGATTTTTTAACATAAAACAATACTGTAATGTACGCCTTACTGTAATCCATGGTTGTTTCCCTTCTCTTTGCTGCTCTTCCTTTTATATCTGTATCTGTTCTCATGCTGGGCAGAACTTCTGTTTTGCAGCAGACTGCCTTGTCTCTGAAATGGATACATGGTGTCTGTGTGTAGGTTTGCAGCCTGAGCTAGCACTACAGGAAGAGGCACTTAGCTGTAAAGGGAAGTTCTCCCCAAGCATGAGGATTTAAAAGGAAGAGCAGCAAAGAGAAGGGAAACTACCATGGATTACAGTAAGGCACACATTACAGTATTGGTTTATGTTAAAAAATCTGAGGGTTTAATGTCACTTTAGGTGTACTTAAGTGGGATTATTGTACATGGAGTCAGCTGTACGTGTTAAGATATTGCCCCCATCCCGGTAGTAACCGTATATAGGGTATCCCCAATACATTTATCATCTTGTTATTTTTAAACTCTGTTCTGTAAATGTAATCAATAGGTCACTTTTGTAGAAACTGTGGAAATATTGATGTGGACTACAAAATGGAAAGTAGTCTGTGTTTCAGAGCACGTTTTATTTTAATTTGGATGAAATGTTCATTTTACTTGATATGTGACCTGAGAATTGGCACATTCCTCTACCTCATCAGACGTTGCTTGTGTCTGCCAATTTTCACGGTAGAGGTATTTATTTTATAGGCACTTCATACCAAGATGCTTTTCACTAGCACTATGGCGTGGCTACTAAATACTTTGAGCTCAAGAATTGACAGAAGTCTAATTACACTGTGCAACATCAATATAACATATGGAAAGTTTTGGTATCTAATATAAATCTTTTGGTATTTTTCCTTTTTGTTTACAAGACTGCATTATATAGTTATATTTTTGCATTTAGGAATTAGATTTGGCTTTATTATAAATAATGCTTTTTAGAGGAAGTCTGTGGGGTGTACCTACTCCAGGTTCCTGCTCACATCCTTAGATCAACTTTATTACATGCCAGGTTATGGAATACTAGAGCACAAGTAGTGACCTTATTTTTCTGGTCATGCTTTTTGCCATCCATTTAGTGCCCTCCACATCTTCTGTTGGTCACCAAATGCAGTGGGTGACCTTACTGATCAATCGGAACGTGCAGAGGATAAGAGGAGACAGATCAGAAATGTGTTCCCTCTTTTTGCTATAGGATTCACAGTTAATGTTTTTTTTTTAATCTGGCCCCACACTTTCAAATTTCTTGTCTGCGCGGGGACAACTCAGTGAAAAAAGATAAGAGAGATTTAAAAAAAATTAGAAATGGAGGTGAAGTTCCTTCTTTAGCTCTCTTTTTTTCTTCTCAAACTGCTAGGTGAGAGATCAGAGTGGGGAGGGGAAACAAATTTAACTTTAATGAACATTTTAATATCTGCCATTGGTTAGTCAAAGGGGCTTTTAATGGAATTCTTTTTATGCTGGTGTGTGTTCAGTTCATTGGAAATACCCAATAAGGCTTCCAGAAAACAGACTTTTTAAAACTCCCCCGAACATGATTGGGTATTTGAAGTGAATAAAGGGCATCATAAAAATTGTATCAGTAAAATAATTGGCCTACAGCAAGCTGATTTTAAATGGATTGTGCTGCTCAATTATTTTTTCATGGAAATTGGTAGAGTATTAACTTTGTTTCCTGTATACTGAGCTGATAGAGTGTGTATTTGTTAAAGTATTACATAGATTAAATGGTAATGGGTATGGCTATTGTAAATCCAAATAAATACAGTGAGGAATAATTTATAGTGATCTATAATGCATGGTGTATTTACAGGTTATTGACTGGCCTGGAGGTTGAGTATTGGCGGTGTTCATTTTTTTCACTAATTGGATATATATAGGGCACATGTATGAAATAATTGTAGATTGTTTGATGGCATTAAATATCTACCATTATGAGCCCTGAGAGAAAATGAGGTTTGACCTGAAGTGCTGAAACTGGACATATTAATACTTACATGTCTGAGACAATAATAACCTTGCATACTTTGCTAAATTGCTTAATCCCCTAACAAGCTTACCATTTGTGTCTCCATGCTTAGGTCTGCTACTGTAAAACCACATAGGCAGAAGCAGAAAGCTCAGTTCCCCTGAATTGTGCATTTCTAGAAATTTAGTATCTTTTGCTTAAGGGGAAACAGAATTTAATAAAGAGATCCAATTTGGGTCTTTTTAGTGTCAAAACCGTATGGCAATTAGGCTTGGTTCTAAAAGAAATGCAGAAGAAGTGTAACATCTAATGAATTACTATTGTCATTGTCACTATTGTTGTTCAGACTAGTTTTTTATTATTGAGCCCCTTTCTTCTTAACATGGCTCAAAGCTGTAGTAAAATGTACCTAAAAAATTTCTTTAATCGTGAACATGGGCACAGGGCATCTTGTACGTAGTGACCACGTGGTTTTGTGCCCACAAAAGTCAAGTGAAAACATATGCAAACTCGCAAACTGACACTGCTTACCCATATTGCCAGAAATCGCTCCTTTCCATTGACATACGCAATGTATTTGATACAGTATCATGGCCCTATCTGTTATATGTTCTAGAAAAATTGGGCTTTGACCCTTACTTCTGCAAACAGATTTCCTTTTCATATTCTTCTCTATCTGCATGTCTACATTACTTGGGATTTAAGTTTAACCTTATTCATTGGGCAGCAGACAGGGCTGCTCACTTCACTTCCTTATTTTCACTTCAGCAATAGAACCCCTAGCTCAACTGATTTGGAATAACCATAATAAACGAAGCATAGATATAGCTGACAACCATTACAAACTAAGCCTCTTTGCGGATGATGCCTTATAACTCATCACAAATCCCATCACCCTCGCCCCCAAACTCCTTAAAAACTTTTTGCGACTTCTGACAGATCTCAGGGTTGGAAATAAACAGTTGCACATCCTAAAGCACTAGGGATGTCC